TAACTACACCATATATAGGATATATTTTTGAAGAATTATAGTTTCTTTCATTAGATCATGATTTTATTTTATTTAAATAAATTGTCATGTGTTTATTTAAATTTCCTAATTTTAGATAATTAAGGTTAAATAATATAACACACTTCAATATGAAGGTTTTTTTTTTTTTTTTTAATAAAATTTGGAGGGATATAGCAATGCAAATATGATGACATGTAATTTACAATATGAAATTTGAGATATATATTGTGAGAATATATTACTCAATTTTTTTTATTAATTTAAACAAAGTTATTACCTTATGTGTATTATTAAGTGCTCTATAATTTGTACCCTAAAATGACATCACTTCACTTTCAAATTAAATTTGAGATATATAATATTTTCATATTTTGTCTAAATATTTTAGTTTTATTTTTCTTTTATTAATGGGTCCTTCAAGATCAAATAAACTATTAATAAAATAAATTAATAAATACAAAAAGCTTTTACTTTCATTTAAGGAAATATTTTGATAAAATTATCATTTCAAGTATTTTCTATTATTATTATATTTTAACATGTGTTCTAAGTTCACAAGAAAACATTAGTACAATATTCTTCCATATGATAATAGAATTCATGATGCCAGATATCACTTTTTAATATTGAAAATTAATAGGATGATTAGTTGTAAGTTATTCAATGAGAAGAGCACATATGAAAAGGTAATGGAGACAATATGGACATCAAATTAAATCATAATTTAACAATTTCTATTTTACAAGTCATTCAAAATAAAATTATAAACCTCTACTTAAAAAAAAAAAAGAAATTAAAGTTAACACTTAAAAAAATTATTTGTGTTCTCTCAAATATTAATATCAGAGAGTATTTTCAAATTATAATATCAAATTAAGAGATTTATAGGAAAAATATTGTGTAAACAAAGGAGATGGATGATAATATGAAGCATGTGAGATATTCTCACAAAACATATTCTTTATTATTGATTTGAATTATATGTAAATTGGATTACCATATCAATCTGAAAACTGTATATTCAATGTTATAACATGATAACCCCACTTTCATTCCATTACCATGTTTTACACCATGCTACTAATAATTGACAGATTAAACTTTATATAATTACAATTTATTATAATTCTAAAGTTGATCAAATAATCTTCATAAAAACATTTGATTATTCTTTTTTTTTTTCTAAGAAAAAATTTTTATCTATGTTAGTGTTTTGGTGTTTTAAAATAATCTCAAATGTTTATTTTTTATTATATGATGTTGATTTTTAAATTAATTTAGCCTTGAGAAATAATAGTTAAGTTTCAAAATTTTGAAACTATAAATAATTCTTATTTCGGATCAATATATTGTATATAATATATATATATATACACTAATGTGGAGATGTTTGAAATTGTTAGCATTTTTAAGAGAGAAAATAAAAAATATATATACTTTATCAAATTATTTAACATCTCGTATAAACATTAAATAGGATTGCACAAAATATTATATGATGTTTTAGAATAAAATTTGGTAGGACATTTGTATAATCAAATTACTTGAATTTTCATAAAAGTAAAAAAATATTTATAAAAATTTATTCTCGAAAACTTTTTGTGAACAGCTCACGAATGTCTCAACAAAAAGAAATCATAAAATAAAACCACACGCGACAATTTTGGATGTGATTGGGCATTCAACTACTTGACAGAATTTGGTGTCCATCAAAACATGACACTGTACATGTGGTCCCCACAATTAAACCCTTGCGACCATTCTAAATTGTCTGCACCACATGTTAATCGCACATACACTTTCACACAACTCAATCGAACCCACAGCTACACGACTGCTTATTTTTAAATTAAAATAGTATAGTCTTACAAATAGGTATAAAGATATATAAAGAGTCAAAGTCTAACTCTAAAAAGAAAAAAAAAAAAGAGAAAGAGACAATCATAAATTTAAGGGCTGAAATTTAACTATTTATATGACTCTTGTATACCTCTTTGTAAGACTAGTATACTCTTTTAAGTTTTAGCTACCAAGTAGATGCAATTGCAATAACTGTATTTACTGTTAATATCGGAGTAGTTAGAGATTTAATCTTCCTAATAAATTAAAAAAATGGGATATTTTTTTTTTATTTTTGAGTAGTATTTTAAAAAAGTTGAATTGAGTTATTATTACGAGGATAAGATTGAATCTGAAACATGTGTAAGATTCATGTTTTAATCTTCTGCCATTTGTTAATTTAATTAAACACTCCTTAATAAAAGTTTTAAAATTAACAAAAACACCTCTCACCTACCCATTAAATGTTGACGACCACACTACGTCGTCGATGGTGGTCGGAAGTCCTTGTAATGGCGTGCGACACTAATTTGTCGGTTGGTGTTTTTTAGTTAATTTAACAAACATAGGGGTTAAAAAAATCTTTTAGGACCCCTTGGTTCCACTATTTTTCTATCATATTCAACTCATATCATATCATACATATACTAAGAACCCAAAAATACATTTGTTTCAATATTCTCAAAATCTCAATTCTACTTTATTCAACTCAAAACATTCATATTATCTTTCTAAGATAACCACATGAACACATCTATTTTCAACTTTACTTTTAATATAAAAACTATTATAAAGCATCAGAATAGTGAACCTTAATATTTAATTTGAATGAATAGGAGGTGGTGCACTTGATTCATTACTCTCAATACTTTTAATAATATTTTCAAAAAAGTAAAATTTGGTGGTTATTACGAAGTAGGATTTGAAATATAACAAAAATATCACCTAGGTTTATTTTTACTAAACACCCCTATAATAAAATTTTAAAAATTAACAAAAACACCCCCATCCACCCATTAAATATCGATACTTCGGCCACCACGCAAGAGGTGGCTGCCGTATCGCACACGCGACCAGCGTAGATTTGCCCGATTGTGCACACGATATGGCCTTTTCTGACCAAATATATTATGGATTTGGTCGAAAAATGCTAGATTAACAGATCTGACCGCATTTGGCTGTCAACGACGTCCAAAGATATGGCTGTCGTTGACGACTGGTTATCGCCAAAGATCTAGCCTTTTTCGGCCAGATCCAATTGGTAGTGAGCCATTATATCAGATTCCGGCAAGCTTCCGACGGTGGTGGCCGAAGATTTGGTTAAATGTGAGTCACTGGGTGTTTTTGTTATTTCTAAATTTTTTGGGGGTGTTGTAGTTAAATTAACAACCTAGAGGGTTAAAAAGACATTGAATAAATAGAATAATATTTGAGAATAAGGAAAAATTTGTATTTTGGATAGGATAGAGAATAAGGTGGAAAAATTATGTACCAAAGGGGCCTTGATTTTGAGATAGGGAAACAAATATATTTTGGGTAGGATAGAAATAGAAGAGAGAAAAATAACAAAACAAAGGCGTACATTTTATTATTGTAAGTATTTTTAAAATACTCTATATAGCAAAGAGCAAATATAAAATTCTATTAGTCAATAGTTCCAGGGTTCTAAGGATTAGTTATGCGTACTTTAACTAATCTTTGGAATCTTGGAACTACCAACCAAGTAAGCTCTAATGACTATATCTAGTAGGGGATATGGGGACCGAGACTCTAGAACTATCAATCAAGTAAGAGCTTTCGTGACATTCACTATTAGGGTCATGAGGACTGGAACTCAAAGACCATATTAGATCTTCCTCTTTTTTTTTTTTTTTTTTTTTTTAAGTATATTTTGCTCTTTTTATCAAAGAGTCTCAAACTTGTGTAGATCAAGGAGATCCCATTATTTAACCATCTCCCACATGCCCTTTAATCAATGTCTTCACTCTTCACAATTCCCTGTTTCCCTTTCACATTTTCTTTCCCACTTTCTTTCTCTTTCTATCCCTCCAAACAACCCCCAATTCCAACTCATCACCTTTTGCTTTCCCATTTCCAAATGGGTCTTTCAGTATCGAGAGCCAATCTAGCCTAAATTTGTGGTATCACATTATCATACAATAATCTGATAAAAACGTGTAATGTATACATACGTATGTTTAAAATTTGAGAAATATTTATAATTATATGTGTAACATGTTTTTATTGGATTATTGTACAAAATGTAATGTACAATTTGTACTTTAAGCTTTTTCATCCTTGAAAAATTAAGGGATTTCATTCGTATATGATAAAGTAGTTTTCTTTTTTTACTTTTGTTTGAACTTTGGACATGTGAGAGTAATTAGTCATAATAAAGCAATCTTTGTTGTTTCATCAAGTCAAAAATGTAACCCAAATAGTTATTTAATTATTATGTATCATGTGTTTTGTTTTGTCAAAATAACAATTTCATTTTTTAATTTCTTTTGGGTGTGCTTTAATTGGAATCCCCCAAATTCCAACTGTCTTAATTATGTGAAGAAGTATATTTAAAATATTACACAAATAAAATTAGATTAACTTATGTTTAAAAGAAAAATTAAGATATCGATTTCTCATCAAAGTTGGGTTATATGTTTTCCTCCCTATTATTATAATCGGTAGATTTTAACATCTAAGATGATTTCAATGAGAGGCTATAGTTTCTTCGATATTTAAGATTACACCGAAAACGCCCTCTTTGATGTTGACAACACCATTAATGTTATCTTTCACATTATAATATGTTTTTTGTGATTACGAGAAAAAAAAGAAAATACAACACATCTTATATTGGAAACTGACCACCTCAAATTTCCGAACTATATATATATCTTATAAAATTATCAAACCTATAGTAGTACAAATATGTAGATGGTTTACATGTGACAAAATCCTAATCGTTCCATTCTGGCTTTTCTTTGTATTTATTCACAGAAATAGCCCACAAAATTCTGTACCCATATAAATACTTATCGTCAAATTTTGTATACATCATCATGTAACCACAAAAAAATACACAAAACTACAATAAAAACAACAAAACTTTTACATCAATATATTTATTTTATAAAAATAAAAATAAATAAAAATTCTATCTATTTCTCTTTCAATTGTATTCTAACAATTTTTATAAACAGAAAAATCTCCTTCACTATTACATATTTGCTTCATAATTATAGAATCAACAACATCATGATTACTATTACCACGTTGCATTAATCCAAAACTCACCAAACTTGACTTTGAACTTGACCCCCTGAGTGAACTCGTGTCTGGGATTGACTCAGTTGAGGTAACCAAATCGATGTTCTTTAGTATGTACTCATTTCCCACAAGTTGACTTAGTATTCCTGACTCGGTCACTGAGTTCTTCTTCTTGTGTTGCATGGCGGCTCTCACTAATTCGGTTAACATCGCAATTGAAAGTCTCCGTACTCCCCGAGTCCCACCCATTATTATTGCCGAGTTAGCCTGGTGTTGAGACTGAGTCTTGTCCGAATTTCGTTTGCTGTGCTTAGTATCTTGCTTCATTGTGACATGAACTGACTCGGGACTCCGATTCCTGACTCGGCTGAGTGGGTCACCGACAACGGCCATGTTTTTCACATCAATTAAAGCAATATGCTTAAAATTTCGCCTGACTCGGCCGAGTAGCATTGGGTAACAAGCCCATCTTCTCAAACTCATTGGAACGTGATCTAGAAACCCAGCGAGTGAGTTCTCGGGGTCTAACTCGCTTACTTCAAAACCAACCATGGATCCATAATTGAGCCGAGTTGACTCACCTTGATCACTATCTTCCACCGAGTTAGAAAAATTCCCTCGAATTTTCTTACCCCACAGAGGCTCCCCCATTTCTTTCTTCGCCGCTTTCACAAACTGAGTTATATCAAAACTCAGCGCCGAGTACTTAGTACTCGTGGCATTCGATTCCTTGTAATGTTGAATGAGTTTCAAGAACGATTCGTTCTCTTCACGCATTACAGGACTAAACTTTAACAACAAAGACGAAGAACGAAAGAGAAAAGCAACATCAGCTCTCGCAGTGAGGCCAGAGCGATGCAAAAGTCTGAGAAACAAACGAAATTCATCTTCTTTAACATCTTCAATCACATGAGCAACAACAAGATCACTCACGGCTCTAGTCCCACGCCTGTACAAAGTACCCATCCCTTGTAAAGCAATCGACGTCGCTTCATTTTTGAGCTTATCGTTATGAAAATAACCGGGCATTTTCAAGAAAGAAGAAAATGTGTTTGAGGAAGAAGATTTTTGAGATAAAAATCTCCGTGGAGTTGTAATAGAATTGGGAGTGTTCACAGAGGGCTCGAAAGTGGAGAGTGTGAAGAGAAGAAGAGTGAGAAAAACAAAGAGAGCACAAATGGAAATCGTCGATTGAGCTTTGGTAAACAAGACACTAGAGTTTGTTCTTCTAATCGAAGACGAAGAAGAAGATAAAAGATTATTTTTTTTGTAAAGAAAGGAATCATTTTTATTGTTGTTGTTGTCGTGATGATCTTCGGGGAAGAAGACGAGAAACAAACCCATGCCCCAGTTCTCGTTATTGCCGGTCTTGGACTTTTGAGTTGAACTTAGCTCTTAACTTCAAATGAAACAATGCATTCACAATTTGAAATGTGATTAAGAATATAGGTTTGTTTGATATAGAATGTAAATACAAATTGTTTGATATAGAAGGGTTAAAAAAGAAAAAAAATGGTAGATGGGACCATGGAAAGAAGGAATTAAAGAATTATTTGGAGGCACTTGAAAAATCTTGAGGGAGTCATTTTGGAAAGGGAGAGGCTTGGACATAAGAGGTTGTATTCATTCACAAAATTTAGAATTTTCTGACTGAATCCTTGCCTTAGCTACCTGTCTATTTCCCTCCACAAAGCCAATTTTGAGGTCAATATCATAATCCTTGTATAGAATTTTCTATTCATTCTCCACTTAATTTCACACATTAATCACTGCTGCTTCCACTCAAATTATGCTTCTAGAGTTTTAGGGTATCTTCTACAGGAAAAGAGATTTTTGATTTGGGTACACATCAAATTTGATATATATATTATTGTTAATTTTATTTGTCTTTATGATGATCCTTATGTTTCAATGATTTTTAGAAAATATTATATATCTGCTAAAGGTTTTTTTTTTTTTTTTTTTTTTTGACCGAGGGTGTCTATATCAGCTTACGCACACCTCCACTAATCTCTCGAACCTGAGTTGACAGTCAAGTAATCCCCTCAATAACTGAACGAATATAGAAGCAACAGGAACAAAATAATAATAGTAAAACAAAACAAACAGTAAAACTAAGAAATTATACCGCGATTTACCCTGGTTCACCCAATGTGGGCTACGTCCAGCTGAGTCAATATTATTGAAATATGTCTCACCTCTCTCGTTTACAATGAATGAATTGCTCTCACACTCATACAAGAAAAAGTATGTTTATATACTAGGTTTAAGAGATTAAACCTAGTTTTACGGATTCCTATTCCTAAGCCCAACCCAAAGGAATTAATAACTTAAAAGAAATCCTACAGCGGTTATACTGGAAAAGCCCAAACCGCCTACGGGCTCGGGGGCGCTGCCCCCGCGACCCCCGCTCGCTCAACGGGGAGCGGGGCACCTGTCCACTGACCGGGCAGCGGGACCCCCGAGTGTGTCTCCGTTACCCATTAATGCTGAAGTAGTCGATAACTCCAATCTCGAAACCTTGAAGTTGACAGTCAAGTAAATTCCCTCAATAACCACCTCTATAGTAACCTAAGTGAATCAAACTTAAAATCTCTTGAATAGTATTCTCAAAAGTCTAGTTGATTACTATGCCACCCATGGTGGTTAATTTAACATATATCCTCTAAATTTCCTTCTCAAATATTAACCAAAAAAATATATATATAAAAATAAAAATAAAATGAGATGGTTAATTATGTGTAGAACTTTAGTAAATATGGCGCGAATATGTGAGGAGGACAAGTGACAAGCATTATAATTGTCGAGTCGGTGGGTTGAGTTGGCTTGGCTTTTATAATGCTTGATGCCATTTGAAAACCACTATTTATCCTATCAGAATCAGCATCCAAGGATCAATTTCTTTTCTTTTAATTTATATTTATATGTCCTAATCATATTTCTTATTAAGACACAATATTACATGAAATATTTTTTGCATAAAAAATGGTAATTTCTTTAAATATCAAATTTTAATTTAAATGAAAAGATATAATTTAGTTATTTTTGTGAAAAAATCAGATAGTTGGTTTATAGTTTTTTTTTTTTTTTTTTTTTTTTTTTGGATAAACCTGATAATTGCCTATCCGATGACTGGAATACAAGACTCATAAGTTATAACAAACCTCAATGATCAAGGGTGGATCATCCGACCACAAAACGAGAGATATTAGGTTTATAGTTTACTCCCATAAGGTCTAGGTTCTTTAAAGATATAATTGATTGATGTAATCCCTCTAATAATTGAAGCTTTAATTTTCCCACAGATGTAGTTAACCAATCATACATAAACATGGTAACTTGGAGCATAAGCATGGGTTCATTGAATTTAAAATTGAATTATTTGAAAATGAGATTGTCCCACCTTCTTCTATTTGTTTTAGCATTTGATTACGACATGATAAGTATATATATTAGCCAAGGAACTTATTACTTTAAATTTTCAATACTAGTTGTCTTGCTTGACCTTACATGGATGGTTATATTATTTCTTAATTTCCATCTCATTATAATATTTATCATATGAGGAAGAATCTATTAAAATAAACTTAGCTAGAGGATGTAACGAGTTTAACCCTATAAAAATTATTTCAAATTTTTAAAATTACTTCTGTGATTTTTTTAATAAAACATTAAATTTAAACATATGATGTAATGATAAAGTTAATACAAGTCATTTTTGTTTTGTACATTTCAATGAAGCTAACATGAGAGTGAATACCCATTAAAAATGTTGCAAACCAACAACATACAATAAATAATAACCAAACGATTATCATGTATAAAATTATAATAAATGCATCCAATATATAACTTTAATGGTTCAAGTACAAAACCCAATTTGAAGAACAACAAGAAGACTCTCCCTCCCAGTTCAGCTAACCCACCTGATGCTAAATTGAATACTCCAGAGATCCAATTAGATTACAAGTCAATTAAATGTTGTTTATTAATATGTCAGCCTCTTTAAATTGGAAAAATATCAGTATTGGGACTAACATTCCATTCTCATTAAACCCTAAATGAAGTTTATTATAACATGAATGTCAGGTTACGTTTCGATAAAATATTATTTGATTTTAGTGTAATTTTATTAAATTAATATAGCTATACATTTTAATATAAACCACCCGTAGTTATTCTCTTTACTCTTGTTTTCTACACATTTCTTTACACATATGTTCATAAAAATTAAATAAATAAATAAAAAGTCTTATATAAGAACTGAACCCTAACGATACAAAAGAATAATAACCATATTTAGTTTAAACCTGCAAAAATCAATGATTTATTTTATATATTGATAATTATTTATAATTTCCTTGGCTAATTATCATTAATTGTTTATTCCCATTACTAAATGAATTAATTATTAGTATCACCAAATTGTAGACCAAAAGTGTATATTTTATTACTAGGTGTGAAATGATCAAGTAGCATGTGAAATTTTTAGAACAAGGGCGTGTTGTTGTTGGCCGAGAAGCAATTAAAGCAGTAAAAGCTAAGCTAAAGGCGCGTAAACAACACGACATAGTGCTTTTTATGCTTTAAAAATCATAAAATTCACTGTTTACGCGGAGAGCAAGATTCACACTTACATCTCCCACATGCCCTTTAATCAAGTCTTCCTCTTCACATCCCTGTTTCCCTTTCACATTTTCTTCCACTTTCTTTCTCTTTCTATCCCTCCAAACACCCCCAATTCCACTCTCACCTTTTGCTTTCCCATTTCCAGATGGTCTTCAGTATCGAGACCAATCTAGCCTAAATTTGTGGTATCCACATTATCATGACGGGAGCAGGTCGCCCTTCACGTGACTTTCCCACGTCAGCCCTTTATTTCCTTGGGCATAACATGCACACACACACTCTGGAATGTGCTGATTTGAAGCACCCGAATTAGGGAAAATATTACGTGAATTAATTGAAAATAATGACGGTTAATCATATTACATGTGAAATGAATATTGTAATATTCCAAAAATATTATAGCCACAGGACACATAATAAACTTAGTAATCAATTTTCAATTATCATGCTTACTTAACTCCATTAATCATCATTATAATAAACCTTGATTACAGGTAGAATTGACTTATGTCAATCTATATGGTAATATACATGTTACCATGTTATCTGTCCATCAACCCAAATTAAAAAAATTCACATTTTTTTCTTTTTTCTTTTTTAATCAAACAACTATTTTCCTGAGGTACCACGCTGGATAAGTTCTTATAATTTTGATACAAAACTCAATTTCTTTTTCTCTTTTTGCTATCAAAATTCAAGTAAAGTTTATCCTAATAATTTTATATTAAATTAGTAAGTACCATCTATTAGAGTTAAATTTGACTTGATAGACCCTTAAAATTTGGTTCATTTTGGAATCATAGACTATATACACACACGAGCTAGCAGTTAATTAGGAATCACATGATTTTCACAAATATTAGGTGTTCACATGAAGCATATAGTGACCCTAAGAGTTCACATGATACAAACAATTTCTTGTCAAAGACCCTAACCCTAGCTATAGGAATAAATGCTTCTTTTATTCATTATTTAATTCAACCATATGCTATTTAATTTTGATAGTGACCAAATTAAATTAATTAATTATATATATGCTTTTGATTAGATGTTTAGTATGAAGTTTGGAATTATATTAGATTGTATTTGGTAAAAAGCCTCTGCCTCTCCAATATTCCTTATTTAAACTAAAATATGTATAAGAAAGGATAAGAGTTATGGATGCTTCGTTGTTGTTTTTTAGTGTTTGTTTATCAGCTAACTTAAACTTACCTTATTAAACAAATTGGATTTGCTTATTCATTTACTGATTTTCAATTTAACCCTCAAATATAAAGATTCACTGAAAACAAAACATGAATACAATCATACTTCACTGAAAACAAAAAAGATTTCATTTGGCTTTCAACTCGAATAATTTTTTTTTCTGTAGAATTATATATAAGGGTTTATTTTATTCTTCTCTATATAAATTCACTTAGTATTAAACTCATTCAATTTGTTTAGAAAGTGCTAAACCCTTATATGTAAATACTATTATATTTTTTTTCTCAATTTTTCTTCTTAATAACGTGTATATTACTATTCTTCCATAATAACCTACAATATATTTTGGCAAAAACCACCATTGTGCGGTCAAATGATCGAATATAGATTTTTGGATGTATTACTTAAAAAGTCTTAAGTTTAATTTCTCTCAGTTGCTAATAGAGATGGCTAATGGCTTAGTTGTTAATTTTGGAGCTTCGAAAGAGTAGTTAAGATATACACAAACTAACTCAAACACCATCAATCACCGAATATATATGT